AAGTATTTGATCTGTCTTAACTTTTTATAAATTATATATAATGCATCAAATTTTTTTAAGTACAAAGAATATTACAAATACTAAATATTGATACTTTTTATAGATTGATAGATCTTCTATATTGAATATTATATGTTCATAAACTTTCATATTACAAATATAATTAATTATTTTATAATATATATTTCAATATTTAATAATCTGAGTTTAGCAAAATAATTCTAAATAAACTAATAATATAATTATAAATAAACTAACAATTTGATTATAATAAAAATAGTAATATAGTAATATAATAATATAATACTAGTAAAATAAATAATTAGATTCTAGTAAAAATGGTAATAATATTATAATAAAAGTAATATTCATAAAACTATTAAATTTTATAAAAATAATATAATTTAGCTAGTAATTTGAAATAAGTTTGTTAAAAATTAATATAAATTAATATAATTTAATTAGAAGTTTAATAAATTTTTGTTTAATAAAACTTTAATAATAACTTAATAAAAATTATATTTAATATTGATCTTGATCTTAAAAGATAAATTACTTATAATAATCAATTTAATTTAAAAGATATTTACTTAAGAGTTTTATTATCTTGAATTATTATTTTTAAAACTATAAAAAAACTTAATAAACTTATTAGATATCATTCTAACTCATTATAACAAAAATATATATTATATATTTTTAGTTATAGTTTTTAATTTTTTCCAATTTTAAGTTAATAAAAATATATAAATAATCTGTAAATAACTTAAATTCCAGAAAAACAATAATAATATATAATTTATACAAAGTTAAAAAAAGTTAAATACTTTTGATCATAACTATATATATTTTATTATACTAATAAAAAAATTATATATTATTTATTTATATTTATATTAATATTGATATTAATATTTTATACAGAAATAAATTAAATAATTTAACAAAATATATTTAATTGAAAATATATTAATTTTATTAAAAAAAATTAAATAAAATATAAAATATTTTAAAATATTTTATATTTATTAATACTATATTTTATTAATAATTTTTTTATGTTATACTATTTTAAATTATTATTATATATTATATAATATAATAGGCATATACAAATTTTTTTAAAAATTAATAAATATTATATTATAGTAACAATTAGAAATAATGCAATAATATTAAAATTATTAATTAAATATAGTAAAATATATATTTTTTTCTTTATATAAAAGTTTTCAATTTTACTAATAAATATTTTAATTTTTAAATTAAATTAAAGATAATATCACATATTTTAACATATATTTTTTAGATTTAATCTAATAAAGCTGTTCTAATTGCATTAATTATTTTTTTATATGTTTTAATTATAAAAATAATTAATTTTATATGCAATTAGAACAGCTTTATCAGATTAAATCTAAAAAATCTGAAAACAATATATGTTAAAATATGTAATATTATTTTTATTTTAATGTAAAAAATAAAAAATATTTATTAGTAAAATTGAAAACTTTTATATAAAGAGAAAAATATGTAATTTACTATATTTAATTAATAAATTTTGACATTGTTGCATTATTTTTGATTGTTACTGTATTATATATTTTAATATAATTAGATTTTAAAATACAAATTTTATATAATAATATTTTTGTTTTTAAATTTTTTATATAATATAATATATTATTTAATATAAAAATTTTATAAATTAGAAAAATTGTAAATTTATAATTCATATAAAACCAGTGAAAATTTATTAAATATATTATATTAAATAAAATATTTTAATTAAAACAAATCAATAAATATTAATAAACTTATTATCAAAAATTATAAAACAACTGCAAATTCTAAAATGACAAAAAAACAAATATAATATATATTTACATTATAAATTATTTAATATATTTTCATTAAAAATATAATTTTACTTTTTATAAATTATTATACTATAAAAATTCTATTATATTTTTTAATAAATTTACTAATAAATATTTCTATTTTTATTATATCAATATATAAGTGGATTAAAATTTTAATATATTAAATTTTTGAATTTGTAAATTCAAAAACGTACAGTCAACTCTCTAAATGCACACCGCCGGGAGACATGAAAATCAAACTCGAGAGTGTATTTAGAGAGTTTGTGCATTTATAAAGTGCATTTTACGTATATAGTAATATTATTAACTTGGAACCAAACCACAGTGTGCATTTATAGATTAGAAACATAGTGTGTGCATTTAGAGGAATCCACCAGGGCGACCCCAAAAGTTCGGGCCACGTGATAATTTTTTGATAACGTCAACGATGCGAAAAGGGTTAGGGTTTGGATCTGGATCAAGGTTATTTGGTAAACTAACAATGCATTTATAGTAAAATTTTGCAAGGAACATTTTATATTAGAACACAAAAGATAGTTTCATAGGCTAGATTTTGAGATACAAGCTTTTTTTCAAAAATATGCCTTTGTTTTGTTTATTTTTGAATTTTTGTGTTACACGTTGAGCTTGCAATTTAATTGGTCATCATCGCTGACATCATCAAAAAATTGTCACGTGGTCCGAACTTTTGGGGGTCGCCCTTGTGGATTCTTGACTGTATAGGATAATTAAACAAATTTGTTCAATAAATCTAAATTTTATATTATTGGATTATTTTTAAAAGAATTCTATTCAGTATAATTTTTTATTTAAAATATATAAAAACTTCTTTAATGATTTATTTTTTGCTTTCTAATCTTTAAATTTTTAAATGCAAATAATAATGTATTTTATAAATAAAATTTTTGTTCGATTCTTGAATTAATATAATAAAGTAATATGCTTAATGATTTCTGTATTCATTTTTATTTTTTTAATAGATTCTAGAATTAAATGCATGTATTCGAATAACCAAACTTCAACAAAACTAGTCAATAACAAAAAGATGTATAATACTTTTCTATAATACATAAACTCTTGAAAAAGTGTAAAATTATTCGTTTTATTCTATAAAGATGTAACCTGTCCTGTGTTAGTCAATGTGCTTTTTATAATGTATGAAACGTAGTTACATGTACATGTATTTTGAGTAGATAAGATAGATCTAGAGATCTATTTTTAAACAATATGCATTAAGATGGATCTAGAAATCCAATTATTTTTAAGATAAATCTAAAGATCGAGTTTACTTTTTTGAACATGGCGCTATTCAGTAGAAAAAAGGGGGAATCTAATAAACATAATATTGATTTTATCGTATAAACCAACTAATAAAATTTTTTTTATTGATTTCTACCTTTTCTATGAATAACACCATGTATCTATTTCACCTGTATATTTTTTGTTCAAATGATGCAAAACTTTTAACTCATTCTGTATGAAATGGTTGATAAAAATTTCAAAAATAAAAAAGCGGCACATGTACTATTAAATATGGTCGGAAAGATCTTGATTGTTGTTTTGTGGTTATTTTTATTCTGAGAAAAGAAGTATAAAAGGAAATTCTGATTGTCAGGAAACCTCATTTATAATATGTATGTCTGTTCAGATGTATGCATCTAATGTTCTACAGTTGCGGATAATTTTAATTGAGAATTTTATAATTATTCTATTCTGCCATGCTTTGAAACTGATTCTAAATGTAATACTGAATATCATTGCTATTATCGTATGATCAATAAAAGGTTCTCTACCCTGGTACTTTACATTCTAATCATATTTTGGGGTACTTTACATAGAGTTACAAATATGTAATTCAATATTAATTAATATAATGATAATAGAGTAGGGGGTACGTACTTTACAATAAAACTGCTCTCAAAAAGTGGAGGGGGTAGATCTCCTGGATTAGACAATGAGTCCATTTCTAGTAAACAACTTGAATATCTTATCAGGTCATTATCTCGAGCCGAAACATAAGAATCGGAATGTTCACCGATCCGAATATATAATATCATTTTTTTACTTTCTGGTCCACGAGTTACGGGCCGTACTAAACCAGGAATACAACTAAAAAAACTTTCAAGGACCCGATTCTATTATAGATTTTTTGTGCAGCATATTATAAGCAAATAAGGCTAATGCAAATTTTTTTATAGATCATTAAATGGAGTTTTTGCCAGAATATTGGGATTTAAAACCCGTAGCCATAATAAACTTTACTGCTCATATGGTATCACACGTACACGTACATGTGCATACGTAGTTATGGCATCACAAAACAACCAATGAAAATTTTTGCAATACGTAATCATTAGATGTAAAAGAACCATAACTTTCTTCTCTATTCAATTAAACCAGCGTAAATTCATGCATGTTTTGTATTTTTGTTAACGTTAAGGAAAGAGTTCGTAAATAAAATTTTTAAATCTTGAAATTTAATAATCGATTATTAAAATAATTTTTACGATCTATGCGCCAACCTTTATTTTAACTTTCGAGAAAATTAGTCGAATACCCAGAAATCGATCAAATAAATACGTGTCGATAAATGCAACAATCATTATGCTAATTATCAGCTGTTCGGAATGTCGGCTGTTTTTTACTATAAAACTGGTTTTTTGGGATTCGTGATCTGAATTACATTAAATACACCTGGATAACTATTTATTAATCCGTATTCGGTTATTGTAAAACATATTCTTAGCTAATTTTCTTCCTCGTTTTCCTTTTTAGCGTAATCCCTCATTGTTAGATTGCTAATTTTGAACAAGGAATATTAGTATGTGTTATACAAATTTCGGCAATTTCCACTTATAAATTTGTATTTTTGGTGAGCTATGAAAAAAAGTAGCGCCTCCATTTAATAGGAGGAGCCGCTCGAATTTTTGTTAATGCAATACTTGCCCTTTTAGTTTGCTTTGAAATCGATTCCAATATCTTTTATTTCGAAAAGGTTTTTTTGGAAAATGTCACATTCATTTTAAACAAAATAATATACATAAACCTCTTAATACATCACCATCAACGACTTTATTTATATATCATAAATATAAATACAGTAATACAGTATATAAAATGCCGAAATACACACAAATACACTTTCAGGTTGGATCTCATCCTCCTTTATTAAAACCACGCTATCCTCCCGATTTAAGTCCCGAAGACTTAATGCAAAACGCATTACAAAAACTTGAAAAATCTGGTAAATTTTCTAAAATCCCGAACGCATTTATGACTTATAGAATGCAACTTCAAAAAGAATTTGCATGTCATTATTCATATCCCGGTATGCGTAAACTATCTTCCATTGCTGCGGAACTCTGGAAGCAAGAACCTGATTACGTAAAAGGAACTTATCAAGAGCTTACGCGCGAAGCTCAAACTCGATTTGAAAAAATAGCGAATGCATCTTTTCCATTGCAGTTCGTACAATTTATTAATCCGAGTGAAATTTCGTTTACTCCTGAGAATAAATCAAATATAGAAGAGACTAATCCATTTGAGATACCGGCACATGGCGATATTATTTATGATACTCCCGATTCTACTAGTGCTTCAATTAATGTGACAAGAAATAACAACGAAGCTGATCTTCAAATCGATGATACCTCCTCCCCATCATCAATTTTGTATAATGGAGCTGGGCCGCAAATTATAGAAAATGATTATTTCATCAACTCGCCAGTTGTGAATAATAATACGAATTTGAATATAGTATCTTCGGATACTCTTACTGTTAATTATCCTCAGAGCATCCCTCTCGAATCTATAATTAATGATAATAACATATATAATTCAGAATGCAATTTTAAAAGTGTCAATACTACAAGTATCCAGATCATAAATTCGATTATGACCACTAAATACCAGGAGGCATCGCCAACATGCTTCTCTAGCCCATTGAATTCTGTCAACAACAACAGATCCGATAATACATATCCGCTATTGACACCTGTTTATGAAGCAATAAATTACAAGGGGAATATTCCAAATCGGGTTACTCAGCTTGAGGATATTGTATCTGATATAGCGTATTCTAGTAATATAAACTTTACTAACGATCGTTCCGCGAATCTTGAAGAACGAGTGACTGTTTTAGAAAGATATGTGAAACTGTTACGTGATAGAAGCTGCAAGTAAAAAATTAAGAAACTTCCATTTAAAAAAAAATAAGAAAATGATAGAAACTTTATCTAAAAAAAAAATACTTTAAGAATTTCTTTAATTACTCGAATTTTTTGATAGTGCTATTTTGCTCAAACAATACAATCAATTAAGAACAAACTTACCTTAAAGAGTTTAACTTGTCTTGCTTATCTATAATTCCTCCCATATTTTTACTTTTATGATATTTTTTATTTTATTATACAGCATATAGTGTAAAATCCATTCCTTTGTTAAAATTAGTTAGTTATTTAATAAAGTTACTATTTTTATGAATAACAATAAGTTTCAATCTGTTTTTAACTAGAAGAACCGAATTTCTGGTTAAATATTAATATTTATGTTTTCAACACAAGTAAGTCCAACCAATTATAAGGTACGTCATTTCAATTGAACTGCAACTTAAAATTCATTTGACATTTCAAAAGAGCTCAAAACAACTTAAATCAAAATGCCAAATTTTGAGATATTTGCATGTCAATTGAAGTGATGCAACCTACAATCCGGAAGCGACTGGTTGGACTTACTCAAATTCGCCGATATGATTAATTTAGCAAAGCTCAAAAAAACATCTATTAAATAATTCTAAAAGTTAAAATATGATATAGTTCTAATTGCTGTATCTAAGGGGAAATTTAGATGTCGCATAACGATAATGATAAGGAATTCTGTTATCGTTATAAATGTTGATCAATATACGTTCAGTATGACGCTGATCGATCATTTCCGCCAAAATATTTGGATACATCGATGCAACTGTTTGTTTTGCTCTGCGCAGTTCTTTTTTAGCATTAATAAATTTCCAAACTTGGAAATAAATGACTCTTAGTCTAACTTACATAATTGGCGATAACGATAAAGTGTTTTATCTCCGGTGATCAATCTGAAACACAAGTCAGTAAGTTTTTAACCAACCCAGAAAACAAATCCGAAACGAGAACAAATAGTGAAAAATACGGAAAACCATTGCTTAAATCTAGGCGCACTATTAAAAAATGTCGGGAAGGCAATTTTATGTATAGACTTGTCTCCAATTCTAGCCTTAATCCTAACTCTAATCTTAAACTCAACCTTTAATATCCACGTGGTCACATGGATGCAACGCATTGTCATGTACATGTATTTGGAATTATTGTGGTACAACACGTGTGCATCTCCGATTAAAGTTATCAAATTAACTAAAGAATTTATGCATTGCCGTTGCTCTTTGATGAATCTGGATTTACTGTTATAATTAAAGCGAATGTACATGTATTAGATCCAGTCGATCTAAGCGCTCATCTAGTTCCAACTAGTTTTGAACTAGATTTTTCAACCGCATCTCTCTTTCTGTACTATTCGTAGTTGGTAAATTTTACCTTAAACTTTTACAATTTTCAGAATAAAATTTAATCATACAAAAAAGTCGCCGCAGATTTTTTAAGACAAATTTCTCATAGAATTAGAGGTCGGGTCGGGTCGGGTCAACTGTCTAACCCGACCTGCATTTTTCAGGTTGGGTCATCGGGTAAAATTCGGAGCTCTATATAGAATTTTTAAATTTGGTCCTTATAATTTTGCAACTTTTCCAAGATTTTTATTTATTTACAGTTTCGGCGGAAAGTAATGGCGGTGAGATTTTTATGTAAATTTTACTATAATACTAGCATTTTTATAGAAGCAAAATATATAAATAAAGTGTTAGATTTTTAGAAAGAATAACAATTAATAAAAATCAAAATGTGATGGATTTGCGAAAATCTAATAGGAGCGCATCATGGCAAGTCATTTTCCCGATTGCAAGTTTGTAAAATTTTCAAATTTTATTTTCTCAATAATTAGTGACCAGAATTTTATAGTTTTGGCTTTATTAAATTCGTCTCAATAGACGAACATTTTGATAGTAGTTTCATTTTAATCAGAAAAATATCCGTCGAATTAACGCGAGTTTTAGTTAAAAAACGTTCAAGTTACAAAATTTCTAGACCATTAAATTTTATTCAAACTTGCATTGACATGGAAAGAGATTACATCAAGTACTGATATTTTAGGGACATGATGCCCCCCTACTCAAAGGCACTATCAAAATAATTTTTTTTAAATTTAATATATAATTGAATGAAATATAGTAAAAAAACTGGCCGCCATTACTTTCTGCCAGAACTGTATTATAATAACAAAATACAAGCTAGTATTTCGTTTGACCCTCATTCGCTGCAATAACAGCTTGAACTCTCCGTGGTATAGATTTAATTAAATTTCGATAATAATTCTCCGGTATCGCATCCCATTCCTCTTTAACCCACCTTTCCAATTGCACAATTCTTGAGGGCTATCTATCATATTGACGAACCTTAACCTCAATAAATGACCAAATATTCTCAATAGGGTTAAGAGCAGGACTTTGGGCCAACCAGGGGAGCAGCTCTAAGTTTGAGGAGGTGAGAAAGAAACATGAAAATTTCGCGGTGCGAACAGGCGCGTTATCCTCTTGAAAGTTAACGTTTTTCAATTTTTCTGGCATGTGTTTAACTGTAGGAATAACATAATTTCACAATGTGTAACAGCAGTGACACAACCGACCAACGGAACTAGCAGACCCAAATCAATCCAAGAAAAACATCTCCAAAACATGCGATCTGCACTACGCCTAATCGTAGACGTAATGCAATCTTCGTGAAACTCCTCTGAAGATTCCTAGAAATCATGCCCAAAACCTGAAGTTCAAAATTGTGTATAGGTAGACTCATCCAATCAAACAATATTTTTAAAGTCTTCTATA